GTTTGCTGCTGGAGAAATCCCCCGCCACCGCCGAGCGGCAGCGTGGGCTCTTCTCGTTGGCCTCTGGGGGCAGCAACCCAGCCACCCCTACTGGCTGCATCCGCCACGAAGCTACCAGGCTCCTTTTTCTTCACCGACTCCTCCACCAGGGCCGCCAATTGCGAAATCTGCCGTTGCAAACTTGCAAGCTCCGCGTCGCGGCCCTCCTGCACCGGCGGGCNTTGCGGCCTACGCCACTTATTTATCGGGTGAGACTGTTTTGGTGATGTATTAACTTCACGGGAGGTCGACGACCGTCCTTCACACGGACTAAAGAGGGAGTGCTCACAGAGCGGCTCCCACAGCAAGGAGGGGCCCCGTGAATCATCGCGGTGCCCCCTATCAAACGGTTATCTCACCAGTCTGCGTGACACAAAATCATCCAGCACATGTATCCAACAACAATGTTCGCAGACCCACGAACATGGTGAAGTCTTTTCAGTAAGTGGTTTGAAACCAGCTGGAGACTTGGCTTATTTTGAGTTTGTGAAAGCCTAACACTGAGTTATCAGTAATGCCAGTTGGAGCTAAGGCGGATACATTCTTAGTTTTATGTGGCCCCCTCGCCCCCTACCGCAAAGTGTGGGTAAGATTTGTTCCAAATCGTGTCAGCCGCTAGCACGTTATTTGTAGGCAATGAAATGTACCGCTTGCTGTGGGTGACCTTGCACAAACAGGCACGTTCGGCAGCCGTGGACGTTTACAGCAGTGACCACATGTTTTGTTTTCGGTCGAGAGTATTTCTGCTTTCCAGATAATTGTAGGCACATACGCATACAGTATACCATACCCTGACAGAAAGACCTCTGCCGACAGCGGGACTGCAGTCTTTTTTATGCATACAACTACTGCACACTCGTTCGAGATAAAATCTTGCCCACGGAAGGCGTCCGCGTCAGTTGGACCGGTACGAATATTAGAAGGTGCTGAGCAGCGACCGGAACGGTTTTTGATATGATGACAACAACAGTCGAAGGAGATGCGTTGAATTCATTGCAGCGAGTGGGAGAATATCTTTGTTGTTCATTGGATTGCTGCAACGGTTCGTTCATATTGTAGCTTGCGTCAACCGTGGCGGGTTACAGGAGTAGGTTAGTGCTCGCTGTCCCCTTTCCACACAACGAACGACTCTGTTCAGCAGCGGCGACATATGCATACCTACATATAGTCTACACCTCACCGGCTAGGAGTCTTTTAAGCCAACAGGGACCCTACAACGGGTTGGACGCGGCAACGTTTTACATGTGTTCGAGGTCTATGGTCTACCAATTTCGGCATGCGTTTTCATGGGTTCGCCCCCGCTTCCATCGACTCCTGTGCCGCCGTCCAATCCCAGCCCCACTCACCGATAAAAGTGCGGACTGGTTTTAAGTTACGAACACACGGATATTGTTTCCTAACGTTGTTTGTGTTATTGATTCTGAGTGAAACATTGATGTTGTCATCACTTGCCCGGCATGACAACCCTCCCCCTCTGGTTGTTCGATACCTACCGCATGTGACTGACTGCTGTTCGACCCAGGATTTCACATGAAACGATGGCATGCTGAGTATTAGTGATTGCGATGATCCATACCAAGATGCATCGTTTTCTTTGGACTTGACAGATGTACGTCTTCAGCGAACGGCAGCAGGTCGGCCATCGGACGGGCCATTCCAAGTTTTCTATTTTGTCGAGAAGGCGCATGCTACAGTATACGCGCTTTCCCTTTGGTAGTGCCCTTGCCTCCCATGGAAAACTCCTCTCCTCTCGACCACCCTGCCCACTCTAACCACTGCCTCTGTTTTCTATTGTGTGTTTCCAAGCTTCCAAGGCAAGTAGCCTTCGCAGTTTTTTGCTACTAAGAAAACATGCTGGAGAAAGCATACAACAGGGGAAGTCGGGTTAGGGTTAGGGATAGGGTCTGCTTACCCCCTCCCGGTTATATTCCCTCACAGACTTTCTTTTTCGCGAAGGCGGTGCTCCAAGGCATACCACACCCTCGTCATGTCTATCCGACTATCCTCCCAACCTTCCGTTCCCCCTTGGTTGCTTTTGTTGCCCCGTGCGTTCTTCTTGTTGCGTGTTTCCTCGCGGTAGGCGTATCCCGGGGATAGCGATCCGTGGTGGGTGTTCGTGACGATGCCGTTCATTTCTGGTGCCGTGGGGTGAGCTCATGTTTTTTGTTGCTGTCTGATTTTGTATCGGCATGGAAAAATCGTAAGCACGCCGCGCATGTACCGTGTGAGAGTTTTCCGGACAGTGCTAAAGTAGCGACTGTTCGTGAGTCGGCGGAACGCGTGAGTTTCGAATTGTCGCCGGGAGAGCATGCCGAGATCGCGGCTTGGGTTATTTGTTGCATACCGGCTCGACAATCAGGCTCGCGCGACTCGACAGCGTAAGGTGCGATTTTGTGGTTTGTGGCATCGGTGGGCTTCTCGTGGCTGTTCTTGTGGCCGCGTTGCCTTATCCGCCCGACCGTCCAACCCTGCTCGAATTCTAGTCGCCTGCCCGAGCGTTGGTTGTGTTTGTTGATCATCACAACGCGCCGACGACGGGACGCACGCTTAAGTTGCTCATGTTTGCGGAGTTTTGCTCTGGTGTCACGCCTGATCACCTCGCCTTACCTCTACAGGCAGCCTCGCCTACAGGAGGTGCTGTCTTTTACATGTTGTACGTTGTTGAAGTCCCGGCTGCTGATGTTGTTGTTTAACGACTCTGTTCTCCACTGCAGATACGTGACCAACATCCTAGCCCTCAAGATGACGTTCTATCCCGTAGAGTTTTGGGGCATCAAGATATGGCAGCCGGAGGATCAGCCGCTTGGGTGCATTGGGTGGCAGGTGCTCGTGCTTTGCCCCCCCGTGGTTGTTAGCCTTGTAGTATTAGCTGTGAGTTAGATTGAAATTGTGTCTGCATCTGCGTCCCCTCCCAAGGATCACCCGAGTTCAGCATCGTCTGTCGAGTAACATGCCACTGACGTCGGTATCGACTTGCCTGCTCTGTATCTCTACAGCAGGGAAACGTTGTACATGTTTCTTGAGTCGTGATTTAGCGGTCACGTTCTACGGTTTGCTGCTTGTTGCTGCTGCAGCGCATCGACGTGTGCGGTCGATGGCTACTGCTGCAGCAGCAGGCAAATCGTGTACCCGTGTTTGTTTATTTTTTGTGGGTTTCTTGCCATGCATGTTGCTGTGCAGCATCATCCTTCGTTTGGGCCGTGGCTTGTGTCCTGTCTGAGTTGCAGCTGGGCATTGGTGTGTTTACGCTTGTTCTAATGCCAGTGATACATATCATCGCGCGTCTCTTTGCGTCGCGACAGGGTATCGTGCCTGCGAAGGCGGCCAAGATGGCGCAAAAGAGCGTTACGCTCATGACCGAGAAACTCATCAACATCAAGGTATGTTTGAGGGTCAACGATTCCCCCGCCAAAGTTTGTCATTCGGTATTCTCTCCCATGCCTATCGAGTGAACTGTCTTCCTCTGTTGCTCGAAGCTATTCGGTGCCCTCCCCACGGAAGGCCGACACGGTCACTGCTTCGTTTCTCCCGATGCGTTTTTCCTTTGTACATGTAAAGGAAGTATTTTCCCGGCTGGATCCCGATGAGATGTGCGAGGCGCTCGAGCCCGGACTTCTGGCGGTGGTGAGTTGCCCGCAGCTAAGACACTGCTTCTCGGCACCACAGGTCACCGTCTCGCGTGGTCGATTGCCTGAGGTAGACGTTTCATGCTGCTGCTGCTGCTGCTGCTGCTGCTGCTGCTGCTGCTGTTTGCTTCGCTGCGTTCCTTTGGAGCACGCTGTCGTCGTCGTTTCCGCGGCTGCTACAGCCTCAGCGGGCCGTGGCTGTGTTATACTAGCGCTCGACGTACTGCATCGCGCCGTCGTTTCTCCGCAAACCCTCGCGCCCACGATAGCAGCCCGCCGGGTTGTCGGTTTCCCCGCATGTTTGTACCTGTTCGGTGTTTAAGAGGGGTTAAGTGCCCTCCGAAAGTGTGGTGTCTATCCGGTGATGGTGCTGTTGTTTTCTCTCTTGTGTCCTGCGCGTTGTTCGTATTCCCAGCGTAGTTTGGTGTTGAATGACGCGCTTGTTTCGTTGTTGGGGTTCCTTTTTTTCGGTTCCCGTGGCAGAAGCTGGTGCGTCCAGAATTTGTCCCTACCGAAAAGATATAAGACCAACGTCCAGAATACATGCGGAGGGAGGACACAAGAAAACGATCATGCGCGTTGCGATTCTGACGGACCTTCACTGCCAGATAGGGTAGAAAGGGCGGAGGTATCGAGTACACAAAACGCGTCTCGCCGCACAGATATAGATCCAACAGTTTCGAGTCGTTTTTCTTCTGTGTCTGCCCGCAACGAGCTGTCTGTTGCGCGCAACACAGCAGTATATTTCGCGCTCTCGTGTGTATGTTAGCGCCCCCCTTTTTCTACCGTGCGCTGTGTCTCCTGCTGTCAGGTGAGCAGGGTGGTGACGGAGATGGCGGCGAAACACATGCCTGGGACGTGGCACTTCTTGCCGGAGGCATCTAGGGACGACATCGTCCTCAAGGTGTGCGGCTGGCCGCCGTACTGGCTTTTCGAGCACGAACAAGCGCACCTGGGGAATGGACATTTGACCATTCTCGGTGCAGTATCACCACGCGATGCGTTGTTTTGAATGACTGAGATCGAGCCCTTTTACTCTAAGTGCTGACTTGCCTAGGGGATTGATTACGACTTCTATTGATCGCGCAACCGCAAACCTGATTCTGGAACGTCTTCTGTATATACCAAAATGGGCATGTTCTCTTGCGTTTCTTTATCATTTCCGGAGATTTTCAGTGACCACCTGGAAGAATCAGAATCGGTTACATAGATACCCGGGGAGAGCATCAAGACAAGTTGTTCGAGCCGCTTGCAGCGTCCGATGAAAAAGCGCGGCTGCCTTGTCTCGGGGACCTCTGTCTCCGAGGGGTCACCGTTTCTCAAGAGCCTACCGTTGGACATGCCCTTTTGGTATCGTACTAAATGTTTCGGCGTTGTTTCGAACCCGAAATCCTGGCGTTTATCCAGCTGTGGGTCGAAACTCATCCCAAACGAACACGCCGCTATTTTGTTTTTGGCCGCGTCGACCTCGACAGGCTCTTGAGGACGTGCCCATTTTCATGCGCTCCTTCATGGGCGAGGTGAAGACCAACATCGACGTTGTTCTGGACGTCCACCACATGGTAGTCACCAACCTCGTCAAGAACAAGGCCCTCATGAACCGGGTAAGACGAAGAAGAACGGTTACTTTTTTCGTGTATGGTTCTTGTTTTCGTCGGTTTCGTCGACTGGCTGCAGGTGTTTTCGGGTTCCGGACGGTAATACATGAAAGAAACCGTTATTGACCCAGTAACCCCGGTTTGGGGGGGCAAAGTAATTCGTCTAGCGTCGCTGACATGATGTTCCTACCGAAGGACCTCTCCAGCTGGAGAGTTCTGATCCGGGGTCCGACCGAGATCATTTCGGTGCCTTGTTCCTTCCTACTGTTATTATTTTCCTTTCTTTTTCAAGTATTCGTCTTTTTGGCTTTCAGTCGCGAACGGAATTATCGAACGCTTCGGCCGTTGTGATTGCCGGGGCGGGAAAAGCGGCATTCAACACAGCATTTACCTTACCCGTTGTTTTTGTCGTTGTTGTTGTTGTAGGTGTGGCGTCTCCATGTTTGCTGTATGGTTGGCCTCGTATTTTGTGTATGGTCATCTCTGGTTTTGTAAGTCTGGGGATTTCCAGCTCCTCTCTGTGCCTGTGTTCAGCGCCGTTGTGCATCGTGATTCGGGCGCGTTGGGGGCCTGGTTCATGAGAACTGACCAACACAAAGAGGTGGAGCCTCCTGTTGCGAACTCGTCATAGTCTCACGATATCCACGTTTTTCACACGCAGCTCGTCAAGGGCCTCCCGCCGTCTACGTCTCACGAAGGTTTCGCACTTTTTTTTCGTTTTACTCCCGAAAAATCATGAGGTCGTCGGGTGGTGGTCTAGGTCGAGCTTCGCAACCCCTGGTACGGTGGTGGTTGTGGCCACCTGCTGCCTACGTCTTAACGGTCCTTCTCATTCGTGTTTTTTTGCGCCGCAGATGTTCATCGAGGTCGGCGCGAAGGAGCTGGTGTTCATCGAGAAGTCCGGCCTGCTTTTCGGGTTCCTCTTCGGCTGCTTGCAGACATGCCTGTGGTACTTTTACCAGGAGAACTGGGTGCTTCCCGTCGGTGGTCTCGTGGTACGCAGTCCATGAACCTTCCTCTTGAAGTAGTGTGTGTGTGTGTGTGTGTGTGCTCTTCCTTAGGGTTAGCTGGCCCCAGTCAGGCGCACCTTTCAGTGTTGTGTGTTGGACGTTTCTGGTTTTGTTGATAGTCTTCGTGTGTTATGGCGGGTACTTGTGATGTTTGCCGCAACTGAAACACCCGAAATCGTTCTTTTGGTATTGCCACGTATGCGTATATTGCGGTTACGTCGTGGGTGCTACGGGAGAAGCTCTTCACCCCAGGGACTCGGGCTACCCGCCGGCGGTCTCGTGGCACACAGTCGAATCGCTTCTGGTTACGTCCGTGCTTTTGCCGATATGTTGATGGAGGATACAGCTGATTTGCTACAGATTTGATTGTTATGGCGTTTCTGCTGCGCTGCGTTGTATGCAGTTGCACAGGCTCTCTGTTCACTTGTTCGTTCTCGTCGTGTGTTGGCTCCACCGATGGGAATTCGGCATAGCCCTTCTCCCTCCGCCCGTGCCGTGTTTGGGGTTCGCTGTCTGATTTCTGGTTGGTGGCAACTTGTTATGTTTGCCCCTCTCATGTTGTTCTCGTTCATGTTTCAACACCAGGTGGGCTGGTTGACAAACTACCTGGCACTGAAGATGATCTTCCGACCGGTCAACGTAAGCAGCGAATACGATTGATAGCTTTGGTTGGCCTCCCATGCGGCGGGAACTTCCAGCGGTTTCCACAAGTACCTGCCGTTCCGTGCTACTGACTGTTGTCGCTCGTGTTGTTCTTTCATTTGTTTATGTGTGCTGCTGGAGTCATTGGTGTCGGCAGTACGTTATTTTTTATGTACCTATTTAAGCACGTCACAGTTGGCACCACACAACACTTTTCAGTAACATGGCCATGCGCGGGGTGAAAATGCGGCACAGCACCACCTTTCCCGATGCCAAGCATTTGCGTTCCAAATCATTCCCCGCAGAGTTCCCGGCATCAAACGCATCAAGAGCGCGTACAACGGATACGCCTCTTCTAGCACCACCTTATTTATCTGACCGTAAGGGCCGTCGACTACAGTACCCGCCCCTTCCGGCCCGTGCGTGTCTTCCCCTTGGCAGGAGCGGATCGTGTGCGGCTTGAAACTGCAAGGGCTGTTCTTGAAACGGCAGACGGAGGTGTCAGCACATTTCGCCGAGATCACTTCGAACGAAATCCTCACCTCGCAAGCCATGTGGGAGGTGAGCTGCTTCCGCCCTTCCGAGCCTGCTGTTGGTTATTGCTAGTTTACGTTGGACGAATGCTCACGATGTGTTCGCATGTATTCCCACACTCCGTGTTCGTCAATTATGTTAGGGTGCACGCAGCTCTAAAAGGAGTGCGGTGCAAAGCGGCGGCTGATTCAGTTTCCCGGTAAAACGTGAAGCATGCGCTGCAGAAGGAAAGTGAAGAGAGAAAGAAGTTTCTTGTGTGGCCTCCCTCCTGTGTGACCCAGGCTGGTGCCTTCAGAAAACACAAAGAAATTACAATATCTAACGTTTGAAGTACACCGGACGACACGACACGAGCACATAATTTCGGTTGTTGGACATCGCGCGTTCCCGTCTTTCACTCTCCACGTAGGCAATATTGACCGGACCGAAGCGAGATAGCTTCAACGACATGTGCAAGAGGCATACCCACAACTTCGTCGACGTCATGGCCGGGAGCATGAGGCCGCTGGTGCAGCACATGATCGGGGAGAACGAGTTCGTCGACCTTAAGGACGAGATTGCGCAGCAGATGATAGAGAACCTTCCCATGGCAATACGGTAGGAATCTTGTCGCATGAGGGTGCTGGTTTTGCTTGCGCTGTGGCTCGGCAGGGGGGCTTTTAATGTCGCAGGCGAGGTGTTGCCGTGGTGACACGAAAGACACGGCCAATGGCGGTGCTGTACGCTCCGTGCTTGAGCTAGCAGCCGCTGTCGACTACCCAACTGCCAACAGCGTTCGCGACGGTAAGGCCTACCGTGCCTATACCGGCTTGAGAGCGTTCCTCGAAAGCTTATATTTTGTCATGACCGGCCGATCTTTGTCTTGAGGGAGTGAAACCGGCGCGCTTCGCCCGCTGCATGCTTCCACCAAGGTTCACCTGCCGCCGAGAGTACTCTCTGCGAGAATACCCCACCTTGGCATTTTCCAAGATGCGGATGGTTGTCGTGTTCGTGCTCTACGCCCGACTTGTATTTTCGTGTGTTGTGGTTGGCTTGACAGGTTTGGGCACACGTACACGACGAAGGCGCTCGACATGTCCAACACGATCCGAGTGGTGAGGGTTTTGCACGCTGTTCGTGTTGTTTGTTGCTCTGGCCGACACTCGTGTTGTTTGTGGCCGGCGTAGTGCCCGTCAGCCTTTGTTTCATTTTTTTTTTCTCGTAAATGCATAGACTTTGTAGTTTTTCTCGCATGACGGTTTCTGTACCAGAACCCACACCGTTCAGAAGCAGGACACGGGATTCAGTTGTCCATGACCTGGCTGTGCCCCCGCCCTCGCCATTTTCTATCGATGTTCCCATCCCTCTCCCTAGAACATTTCCGACCTTGTAGTTTTCTCGTATCGCCATTGCTGCTATTACTGCCTGCCCCCCCACGCCGTCAATTTCGCGACCTTACGGTTCCTCTCGCTCCCCACACCACTGCCGTGTTGCGTCGGTTCCGCCGATATTTGCAAGGCGATGCAAGGGCTGAGTTCGGCGGAATTCGAAGGCGTTCTCCATCCGGTGTTTGAAGAAGACGAGTGGAAGCTCATCTTGGTTGGGGCGGCGTTGGGTGCTGCAGTCGGAGTGTTCCAGCTGTTCGTCTTGTTCTAGGAAGGAGGCGCCGGGCCTCGCGCACCCACTACTCCGAGCAACACTGCTGTGTTCTACATTAATCTGCAGTGTGCTGATTTTTTTTTATCTTAGCAGTCCCAAACCCTGGCATCCACAATGCCCTCCGAGATGGAATCTTTGTGTTCAGGCGCGATTCAGGTGGTGTTTGGCAAACAGCCCACACCCTTTCATGCGTTGATTTATGTGATTGCTCGTGATACTAAGTAGAGATTGTGTTGTTCTCAAGAGACTTCCGACTCCGGCGGTCTGGTGTGGGTGCGACAGTGGGTAGCCTCGCACCGGCGTCACGGAACTTGCAGTAACCCCCCAAAGCGCACGTTTTCCCCTCTATTGCTGTCGTAAGCTGTCGTGTATAAACCGATGTGATTTCAGAGCCAGGTTCGGCAAGAATGTAGTGGGGGAAACGTCAACCCTGGAGACAGTGGCGTTCGAGTCCAGACACACTGTAATCGGCGCTGTTACGATTTTAGCCTTTCGGGATTTTGCCCAGTACGTTGCGCAACCAGTTGGAAGGTATACGCAAGAGGAGAGTACTTGATAGGGACAATGTGAGTTACGACCGTCGATTCACCTCGTCCCCATCGAGCGCTCATTCTTGTGCGTATGAACATGAGCTGGTTGCGCAACGTACTGGGCAAAACTCTCTACAAACTGTAGGCGCGATCCGCAACTGATCGCCATGGGCTCTCCCCAGCTGAAAAAACGAAATTTTCAGAAATCGTTTTTTTGTCTCGCTTTCAAACGCTCAAAACCGGCGTCTAAAAAGTTGAACAAAAAAAAATCGGTTCGGGATTGCTTTCGTTTTTTTTTTTCGTCGTGTTGCCGACATTTGTTTTCGTTGTTCACCTCGGCATTCGATTCCGCTTGGCCGATTTAGGGGGGGTAGAGCCACTCAGAAAGTTGATCAGACAAAAACTCAGGTGCGCCGGTCGATTTCAAGAAAACGAGATTGTGCTGAATCCTTCAGGAATACGTCAATTTCCCACGCCTGTTTCTCAAAACCAAGAGCGAAGTGGATCATTCTGATTCAAGATTCGTGATTCCACCCCAAAATTACCCGGTACTGAGACTTATAGCTCTTAGAACCGGCTTTTTGAGGTTTCGAGGGGAGGGGATGGTAGCCTTCTATCCCCGCCTTTTTGGCGTATTTGGATAGCTGTAACTCGGTGCCATCGATGAATTTGGAAAATCTGATGACGGATTCGCAACTCTCCACCCTCCTTTACCCCATGCTGAAATTTTCAGCCCAATCAGAGCTATTTAAGAGGGGGGGGGATTTTTTCGGGCCATCCCCGCTTCCTGGCGTTTTGAAAGTTTTCCCTCGTGGAAACAACAAAACTGAACCGACACCCAGGCACTAGACACCTATTTTCCCTCCAAACCTCTACGGGTGGTGGAATCGAGCACTACCAACACACGAAACAAAAATTCAGACCTTAGCCGGGGATGGTTCATCACCATCCCCCCGCCAACAAAAATTCATGACGGTCAGTTGCGGATGGCGCCTGTAGTCTACTGCTGTCGATGGTCACCATCCACTACTCTCACTTCGTGTACCTTCAACTGGTTGCGCAATGCCAGTACTACTAAACGAAAACATACTGCACTATTACGCAGTTCTGATGGGACTGGCGATGCCAAGGTTCCCTTCTCGTTTGGTTCTGTGTCCTCCCTGTTATTGGTTTGTTCGTGAGTGCTTGTCGGGTTTGGTACGAAAGTTGGTTAGACTGCTACAATGATGCTTGATGTTATAATTAAGTGCTTCAGAGTAAAACCAACGCCCAGCTCATAGACTGCCACCTCCTCCGCTAACCGACGCCATGTTTTGGCGACACGAACGACACCAATAGCTCACCGATACATGCTTACGTTGATACCGACTAGGAGGTCAAAAGGGGGGGGCGCCTGTGGACCTTTGGCGGATTGTTCTCGGAAATTTTCCTTGGCTGGGAATCCGCCTCACGATTTCGACCTTCGACGGAGAGGCATCCCGAATCCTCAGTACCTTTCTCGCACTGCCTCGAGGAATTTGAGACCTGTTGAAGTGTAAAGATAGTGACGCCGAAGCATAAGCAAGATACGGGTGCTGGTTGGGTGTACGATGTGAAAAAGGTGTACTTAACCGCGCCGTCATATTATGTGTCCCCATGCTCCCTTAGTAGTAACGCCTGCGCCCAGATTTTGAATATGTGGAACTCCATTTTTAGCGCGCGCGGCTCTGTCCAGCGCCGGAAGCGCCGGTCGCGGCGATGTCCCTGCCTACTGCGTCTAGTGTCTAGGGATTAGACCGGCTGTAGTCCTCCAGCCTTAGGCCAATCTTGGGTCAGTGTTCAGGAGCGTGGGATCGAGAAGCTTGCGTTCCCATACCAGGAGGTCTCTGGTGAGAGCTCATCACGTGTGTGTGGAGCTTTACACAGCAAACACCAGGTCGCAGTGCCCACGTACTCCATGTTCAAACTTGCACTTCACAGCTTTACAGCAGTGTTTTACTTTTGCTGGTTTTGCAGGAGTCAACCCGTGCTGTGGAAGGTAGAGGACACTGCTATAGAACGGGGGGAACGTGCAGCTTCGATATCACACTCCGGAACCTACTGCCTCCCCTGTTTTCTTGTGCCTAGCCTTTTACCTCCTTGTTCGGCGTTGAGGACATGTGTGTGCGGGAACGGCCGTTGAGTGCAGTGAGCGAGGTGTTGATCCGGTATGGAACCAGCAATAGCGGATGTGTGACTTGTGACGACCAGCGCACCCTGGTACTGAACCAAAGTCACCCTCCTAATACGGTATCTGGTTGCCCTTTAGCCGTTGTTGCCTGTGCTGCGCCGCTCAATCGTAGTCGCTCGGTACCGTAGGTTGAGACTATTGTACATGCGGTACAACACATAGTAGCAGTGGGATGCACGTATGTAGACTACGTGATGTACATCACAGTATAGCAGCTGTGACTTATGACGACCAGCGCACCTCATCAGCGGTATGTGCTTACCCTTTAGCCGTTGTTGCCTGTACTGCGCCACTCCATTGTAGTCGCCTAGTAGGTCGAGAATACATGCAGGTAGATAGAGCAGCTAGCTGTGGATGCACGTTGTTGTTGTTGTTGTTGTTGTTGTTGTTGTTGTTGTTGTTTCTCAGATTAGCTCTTATAGTCTAGTCCACAAAACATGGGGAGCCCGTGGTCTCAAAACCCGGCACATAGGACGCCGCGAGGAAATAAAACAAAAATAGGGTACAAACTACTCGGACAAAGAAAACAAAACGATAGAAAGAAAAGAACAGGTACCGCACCGACCGGTCGAGAGAAGAGCCCTCGGAAACCGATCAAAATAAAACAAGAACAAATATAAAGGAGGACGCTTCCCACACCCGCCTAAAGAAAAAATCAAAGGGAATCGTACCAGCATCAGGCACTACGCACCAGGGCATGGGAGTAACGGAGCAAACAGGACAAAGAGGCGGCAGATGGACAGACAGCCAGATGTATAACAAACAAAAGCAACAGCAAAAAAAGCGAGGTCAAAGTACCCAACGCAGCGGAGTAGGCAGGGAGGACATGAAAAAAAGAAACACAGCACAGAGGCCGAAGGCAATACAAAGGACATACATAAAGGAGTATAGCATACAGCAGGGAGAGAAACAGGGCGCAACAACATCAGCCGGGTACATAGTTCGCCACAAGTGCTGCCTCGGCCGCCCTACTCGCTTCTTCAGCAGTGCCTGATCGCCGTTTCTTCCCCCCCACCGCCGCTTCCCCGACTCTCTTTCTCTTCGGTCCTGAGATGGCCGTACTCTCTGCTTCTGCTTCCCTCGCGCGCTGGCGCTTCGCGGACGCTTCCGCCTCCTGCCTGTGCCATTTCCTCATGAACCATGCCGCCCCGTCCTCGACCTTGTTGTACCACACCTCCGGGTCCTTGGCGCTCTCTTTCCATTTACCCCCCTTCCTTTTCGTCTCCCATGTTGAGGCCGCGAGGTCCTCTCCTAGACAAGACACCCAGTCGCTCTCCTGCCCGCCCCGGTATCCGGTACCCCCCGCCATCGCTCCCAGCAGCATGCGCTTGGGGAGGCGGTTGTCCTCCATGCGCATAACAAAGCCTGTGAAACACAGTCTCCGTTTGCGCACGGTGGCCTCGATAGTTTCCTCGCAGCCTGCCTGGATAAGGGCCTGGGCATAGGACAAGGGGCGGTCTGAGCGTTTCCGCTTGCTCAAGCCGATGCACCGTGTAAGGAACTGGCGGTGGGTCCCATTGAGCTTCGTGTAGTGCTCCGCTGTTAGGCTCCACGAGGCGCACCCATACAGGAGAGTCTCCACCACTTCAGCCTGGAGTAGCCGGATCTTGAGCTGGCGGTTGGCCCGTCGCCTGTCGTACATCGAAGCACTGTTCCGGCGGTAGCACTTCCACGCTCGGCAGCTGCGGCTCGTGATCTCCCGCTCGGCCTTCCCGTCCGCGGAGATGGTACGTCCGAGGTACACAAACCGATCTGTCTGCTTGTACGTCTGGCCGGCGGCTCTGACCGTGAACGGGCGTTCCTCGATCCCTTTCGGCAGCATGCACATGATCTCCGTCTTTGGCTCCGATACCATCAGTCCGAACAGGCCGGCCACGCGCACGATGACCGACATCATCTTCTCGAGACTCTCCGGCGAGCGCAAGACGATGGCCGCGTCGTCAGCGTAGAGCATGGCCCACAGGGCCTCCGCGTCCGTCACCACTGTCGTCTTCTTCCCCGCCGACCTGCCCTTCTTGCCCGTGTACTCCACTTGTGTCCCGATCTTGACCACGTCCGCCGTCACCTTGGGGTCCTTGTCGAACTCGGCCACGGCGACCATGAGCATCGCGGCAAAGAACAAGTTGAACAGAAGCGGGGCCAGGTTGCATCCCTCGCGGAGGCCTTGGCCCACGTCGAACTGATGTACTGCTGTACCACGCCCAAATCGCGTCGTTTCATGCACGCGGCGCACGACAACAACAGTACCGACTTTATGCTCCCACTGCGGAACCTCTTTTTTTTGTTGTGTGTTGTGTGTAGCAAGCAATCAGGGTGCTACAGAGTTCAGGAATACCGCATGGAGAACGCTTAGCTTCTCAAATCATCAATGGGTAGAATATGCACGCCAACATGACGACTAGCGCAGCAGGTTTCACGGCTGTGGCCCTTCTTGAGTCACGCGTGCATGGCTGTTGTCTTGGTTTTCTACGCTTCAAAACGGTTCCGATCTCTGCCCACCAGCATCTAACGCCCATCCACACCAAAATTTTACAGCAGAACAAACAAACAGAGAGTTTTTCATACTCATACCAACTCTGGGCTTCCCTCGTAGATTATTGCCCAACCGTCCGTGGCTTCATCATCACCAACAGTCTCTCATTCGAGACGCATAGCACGTGCTGGGCGCATTGGTAAGACCGGTATGGAAACCCGACATTCTAGAAAGCCTAAAAAAAATTGGACGTTGCATTTCCGATTTTTGTACATGCTGCACCTTCTCTCCCTCCCCTATGCCATCGTGCATCACAGGTCGAGCTGAGCTGACGTGATTGCACGTTGGAGAGGATCGGACGGGAGTTTCCCGAAAGAGCGAGACATCTTTACCTGAAGAAACTCCAGCGTAAACGCAAAGCTTTCCGGGTTAGGTCAGGCCCGATAATGCAAATGGAGGACCCGCCGCCATCGTCGACGCTTGTCCACGCGTCTACCCCTTGGGTAGGTCAAGAGGGGATTCGCAACGCGAAATATGGTGGGGTCCCCCCCGCCAAAAGCAACCCGGACGACGACAGCATGTTCGGCGGCAACGACCGAGTCGCCAAGGGCCCCAGCCTGCGGCGGGCGTTCCAGGTTGCGCCGGCTTGGGGTGGAAACGGTGCAAGGGTCGGACACGCAGCGTTAGCGAGAGCAACAGCGGGGGGTTCTGGAGCAGCGCCCGCCACGCCCGACGGATCAGCGGCACGATCACCGAGGAGAGAAGGTGGAGGGAGAACACTGGGTGAGAACGGGCTAGCGGGGGAAGCAGGCGATGGCGGGGAGGGGGGTGGGGTTGGCCGTGCCCAAAGCAGCACGGGTGGAGGGGACGCGCGTCTCCGGGGTCTCACCAGCAAGGCAAGCCGCGTTGGGTTTCCTGGTGTTCTTTTTTCTCGACGGTGGAGGTTGAAACATGAACTATTAATATCTTGTAGAGCCTGTTACCGACAGGGGAGATATCGTGGTATGTTGCGTGGGGAGTCGTAGAAACACTGATTCCGCTAACGCTATGAATTCAATGTTAATTTATCCTAGACAATTATCTTTAGAGATATATGTTCATTGGGGCATATGATCATGAACGAACGAAGTGCCTGGGCCATAGCGGTTGACCGTCGTATATGTAGAGGGGTCCTCCGAGAAGACTTGAATACGTCAGGAGTAATTCGGGAAACGCATGTTTGTTGGCACGCTGCTTCGTAATGGCTTCATTTCGTGTGTCGGATGTCGGTTGCGGGGATGTAGAACCGTAAGCACCCAGCTTCGCGAGTACTTCAAGGTTTGCCTGCTTCTTTCGTGACACCTGACGTTTCGCCTTCCGCCGTAGCTAAGCGGGGCTGCTACAGGACTCCGAAGAGCTGGGTTGTTCGTTCGTCGCTCAAGGGTGACAAGAATCGTACATCATCAGTAGCAGCATCCCGACTTCCGGCCATATGGACAGCATGAAGTCTTGGCGATAACGTTTCAGCGTTCAGCCTCATTGTCTATGTTGCCATGCCCCGGACTGCGGATCCCTGCTTGCCTGTCGTGTTTCGCCTTCCCTTGTGATTCCAGGTCCGGCATCCGCTGGCGGACGTGCGCGGCCGTGCCATCTCCAATCTGAGCGGGTGAGTGAATTATGGGTAGACGTCCAACGGTTCGGAACGGCTTTTTCTTCGAACCGTTTGAGTTGGTGCTTGGTGCTTGATCTATATTTAAAACAGGACCGATTGCAGCGTATGCGTGGAGGGTTGGTTCTGGTCTGCTGCAGAAATCTTTTTTTGGTTTTTGTTGCCCAGAAGAACGTTTGTGCACAATAACCACGCACCTCTATCCACGCAAATAAGTTTAGCGCTAGCGTCAGCAAAACCCGAGGTGTATCGTTCCCTTCACGCGACGCGCACCCGCGCTTCCCCCCGTCATGTGGTACGGTACGCGCCACCTTTTCTTCCGCGGCAGGAAAATCTCGTTGGGCCTCTTAAGCCCCTCGGACCTGTTGCGGGCCGAGCCATCTTTTTGCTCGGACGTTGTTGCTCTTCTTTCGGAAGGGATAGGGTTTGAACCATCCGGAAACCGGTCTCCGGAGCGCGGGTCGTTGGAAGGAAGTTCCGCATCGGCGATCCTGGTGCTCAACCTCTGCGTGTTGCTAGCAAAGGTACATACTTTTTGTTTGGGAAAACGACACAACAGGGTATAGCCTGGTCGAAAAGCGACACACCTGGGTACACAGTCATTAACAGCAGTAAATGCACTCATATCATTGGTCAGCGCCCAATTTCACCCCGGTGCGTCCGAAAAGGCGCAGGGTATACCCTGCCGTGACTACTTTTCTCAACAACTGTACCCTGCTTTCGGAAATGTACCCTGACCTGTCGGGAAAAAAGACCCTTTCATCAATCATTTCCCCCGCAGGAATCTTCCCAACTCCTTTTCCCCTCCAACCATGGGATACCAAACGGCGACTCTTCCCGCCCAATAACAACCATGGCAACGGGTCAGGATTCAGTTTCCGCCCCTGCGAAACAACACCAACGGTTAACTCTTCCGCACTAAGTCAACAATGGCCGGGCAACACGTACCCCAGCACAATTGTTCCGTTTGGAAACATGCCCACGCGCGTACGATACCTCGTGGACGACTGCTTGCTGCAGTCTATATGCGAGACGCACGGGTCACGCTGTGAAAACGAGACCGATCCAGCATGGTTGACATGAATATGCATGTGTGCATGCGTGTGTTGTCTGTTTTGTGTCTCAATTGCGATGTGCCGTGTGTGCGTGTGTGCGTTGTCTGTTGTGTCTCAATCGCGATGTGTTTCTTGCCTGAACTACTGCTGTAGCGGCAGCGGTCACGCTTACCAGCCGACCAAGCCGACCAATCAATATAGTAAGAAAACGTCAGGCTTCAGCGGGATGAGCCGATGATCTACAACGCGAGCACTCTTTCTTCTCTCTACTGACAGGGAGGGTGATCGAGTTGCACGACACAGCAGTGTCCTGCTGCTAGAGTAAGGATAAGACTTGTCTGTGCTTGATTGATGTCAAGGGCGAGTCTGCGTGTGCTGGTCCTGCCTCTCCCCTCCACCCTCGTTGCGGGGGCGAGCTCGCCGTCAGCACAGCGCCACACACTGGCACGTGCTATGCATGTCAACCATGCTGGATCGGTCTCGCTTTCACAGCGTGACCCGTGCGTCTCGCATATAGACTGCAGCAAGCAGTCGTCCACGAGGTATCGTACGCGCGTGGGCATGTTTCCAAACGGAACAATTGTGCTGGGGTACGTGTTGCCCGGCCATTGTTGACTTAGTGCGNGTTGTTGGCTTAGAGCGGAAGAGTTGGCCGTTGGTGTTGTTTCGCAGGGGCAGAAACTGATTCCTGCCCCGTTGCCATGGTTGTTTTTGGGCGGGAAGAGTCGCCGTTTGGTATCCCATGGTTGGAGGGGAAAAGGAGTTGGGAAGATTCCTGCGGGGGAAATGATTGATGAAAGGGTCTTTTTTCCCGACAGGTCAGGGTACATTTCCGAAAGCAGGGTACAGTTGTTGAGAAAAGTAGTCACGGCAGGGTATACCCTGCGCCTTTTCGGACGCACCGGGGTGAAATTGGGCGCTGACCAATGATATGAGTGCATTTACTGCTGTTAATGACTGTGTACCCAGGTGTGTCGCTTTTCGACCAGGCTATACCCTGTTGTGTCGTGTTCCCTTTTTATTTCAGCATGAGTTTGCGCAGAGGTTCGAGAAGTTTTTTGTTTTCCATCCAGGCAGTAGTATGGACTAGCTCCGTACCGCCTTTCAAGGTTCGCCTCCACACTTTTCGACAGACGCGACAGACGCGCTTCTGAACCAAGCACGGCCTTATTTTTTTTTTTTTCTACCACGGGGGCGTGTGTGCCCTGCCTGCCAGACGACGAATATTTAATTTTGAGCATGCTGTCAGCCTAGCTGGCAATCCCAATTTCATTCGTAGCACAAAAGATCTCGGGTCCACGGCTCGCACTCCACCCCATTACGTTTTTCCGTGTCACTCCCGAACCCATCCCATTACGTTTTTCCATGTCACACCCCAACCCATTCCACCACGGTTATTCCGTGTCATACCCCAACCCATTCCACTCCGGTTATTCCGTGTCACACCCCAACCCATCCCACCGCGGTTTCTCCGTGTGGCAGGACCCGGTATGTCGCGCTCGTCTAGCGGGGGAGGGTGCCGCCACCCCCCTCTCCAGGATGACGACGATGGCTGAGTCTTCGCGGACTAAAAGCGGAGGCGAGCTTCGTCTCCTCGCGGCAGAGGTGAGAAGAAGACTTGCAGATCGAAATGAATAGGTGTACACACTGAGTGAGTTGAGGGTGTCACATGAACGGCAAAAGGTGTGGTTTGGTCGCATGATACATAAGAAGGGGTTTCAAAGCTAGCTTTGACGAGAGATCGGGGACAGTTTGGGAGTGTGACTAGGTAGGTAGGCAGGCTAGAAGCTCGGAATGGGCGGCGGAATTTGTCGTGCCGTCCTCCAAAGTGAGGGAAACAAACATTTTTTTGTCGCCGGAACCGTGAACCCTCACCCCCCACTGCCAGGCCTTGGAGCTCGTGGAAACCTCCCCGGGTACCCGTGTAGCTCCTGAATCCGTGGCGGTTTTGGGGGAGGGGGCGGGTACTGCTAGCCCCCCACCGGCAACGGTGCCTGCGCGTCAGCAGGGATTAGCGTGGAGGGAAGTCGACGTTCCGAACGGTCGACAAAGTCCAGAGCAGCAGCACCAGCAGCAGCACCAGCAGGAGACGGAGGAGGCGTGCGCGCTGTTCGGAGACGGGTCGGAGCCCAGGTAAGGTGGGGATGATCTCCGAAGACGGCGACTTTAAGCCTCTGGGTGGCGACTTTTGTCTCTGGGTATTTTTATGATGGTACGATCGAAGACCCGCCCGGTGCGAGAGGAATTTGCTCCGTAGGACTCACTCCGCATCACGTGTCCCTCGGCACACAGGTAGGGTTATGTACCGTCATCATTTCATCGTCATGGTAGAGATGGTGACTTTGTGGTCTAGGGGGTAGTACCGTTTAGAGCACAACTCTTTTGGCTAGCAAAACGCCAGCATCGTTCCGCAAACATTCATGCAGAAGGTGCCTCCTTATTCTTTTGTTGATCAGTTTCCTCTTGAGTTTTTTCGCACGGACAACAGCACCGGGTTTTGGCGACAGCCCCAACCGACTTGTCGGGGTAATGCTCAATTTATTCCGCTTGGAAAACGACCGTTCGCAACATCCTAGAATTTGGAACGGCGTGTGTGAGCTGTGGAACTCCCGTGTCCTGTTGTCTATCTCGTCCCCTCGGGACGTGCTCGCGCCCGTCATCGTCTCAAGAAGGTGTGCTAGGCGTACTCAGCATTAGATACGGATCTAGAAGGCTTCGTGTATCGTGGTAGGTGCTTGTACGAGAACGATCCCCCTTGTATTCCGTGCGTGGGCCAGGATGGCCTGATTGCTCGGTAATCACAAAGTCTCTGTAGTCAACCGTTTCTTCGGGCCTCTGACGATACGCACCCACTACCCGCATGAAGGTGGCCCCGCTGGACGAAGGATTTTGTGGACGGGCCCCTGTTGTCCGCCGAGAATAATGCCTCCTCCGACACCGTCGTGGCCTGCCTCTGCGCGGGGTGGCGCTTCCCGCACGTGCGACTGGTCAGGTGCGTGCTTATGGTGTGTGTGTGTGTGTGTGTGTGTGTGTGTGTGTGTGTCTAAATCATTGGCATCGACCGCGTTATCTGCTGGCCAATGAAAATGAAATGACGTCAGTCTACTAGCGGGATGAAAAACGCGTACGCATTTTCTAGTCAGAGGGTGCTTGCTCTATGTTCGTGGACAGCGACAAAGAATGAACCGAAATTGGTGGGCAAATCAGCGGAAACATCGTTTTCCCAAAAGTGTTTATTAGCTCCATTCTTCCTTGCCAACTGAATCGTGTGTACCGTCCGTGTTTCATGTGCTGGGACAGGTCGGAAGAGTCGGCGCTTTTCGACTTCGAGGTCCGCTTCCGCACCGCCTCGACCCCTGCGGGCGAGACCGGCCTGCTGCGCTGCTTGAGGCACCTCCGCGACGAGATCGTGGAGGACTATCCCCCCGAGGTACTCCTCCAGAGGCCCGGCTCGTTCGGCCGCTTGCTGTCGCTGTTGAGGTGGGTCCTTTTTTGTTTTGTTGAGGGGGGAGTACTCATAGTCGTGCATGCCGTAGTCGATAGACCATTGACCTCGCATCCTTGGTTTCGGTTTGTGTTTGTTTGTGTCGCTCTTCTCGGAATTTTCGAGTGCGTTGTGCGTGTCGTGCAACCGCGTAACGATCGCTGTTCTCCCCTCTTTCACGGCAGTGCGTTGGAGCTACCCCCCCCCCCCCCCCCCCCCCCCCCCCCCCCCCCCCCCCCCCCC